AATTTAACACACAAATGTGCGTATGAAACATTTGTTTCACAGTGTTAATTATCTTCATAAAGGCTTGTAAAAGTTAAATATCACATACGTTTTGTGTACTAAAATCCGTAATGCCTCTCAGTTATTAATTATCTCACATCATCATCTTGCGGTTCAGCTTTATGGCTGACAGGTGTCCTTAGAAGAATTTCACAGGTAAATCCTAGTTAATCAAATTACCCAGCAGGAAAGAATATTTCCTGTGCAAGTAAGGGAAAAACACTAAGCATAATGATGTAAACTCTGAGATCACACAATTTACAGGTCCTCCGAATCTTTGTACATATATATTTACATATACACACTAGTTTTTGTCCCCATAAACATTTTTGCGATTCAGTGAATAGCTTTTTCCGGTAATGTTGCGTTTTCTTCCGCCTAAATCTACGTTGTGTGTGTGCACGCGCATCTGTTTACTTTTTTTTTACATGCTTTTAAAAAGTTGCAAATCCTCTCCACAGGAGATTTCATTCGAGACAATACATTTCTTTTATTCCTTTTGAAAAAACAATCAGGTCACTATGAGTTACAATTTAACTGGGCTAGTTTCTTGCTCAGAAGTCATGTATACTTTATGCCTGAATGTTTTTCTCTTCTCTTGGCCTTTGTTACCTGAAGTGGAATGGTTGAATACTTCCTTGTATATACAAGGATGAACAAAAAACATGTTAATGGTTGCTTTGGTACAATTATTTGCAAGTGTATAAAAAAGGACGTTTTTGCAATACTCTTAGGTTGTTGTTCAAGGCAGCGTACACTGGCACTGAAATACTCATTTGAAGACTTTTAGTATACTAGAAATATGCTGAAGGGTTGGTTCTACGGATCCTGAGGAAATAACAGCTGTAAGCTGCTCAAATTTTAACCTATTCCCAATACTATACTATAAAGTGATAAAAGTAGTTTACTTGAAAGAGTATGATGAAGTTTTGCGCCAAGCCAACTTTTATATGGTCTATTCGATCAAAATATTCATCTGTACACTTATACAATCAAATATCAAGGCAGGTTGCACCAACTTATGATTGCTCTTTTTTGGTTTCTTTATCAAAATGACCATAATCTGACAAGATTGGTGGGTCTTCTGATTCACTTTGTCTTTCAGAAAGCAAAGCATATTGGCAATTTGAGGTGGAATTCTCGGTTGTAATAGCGCTGTCACCTTCTGTCATGCTTCAATAAATCCGTCACAGTGTTTATCTGGAAACATCACTTAATGTCCAGGTCATTTAAATGAAAGTTATGTTCCATTTAAATGGAAATGAATGGAATGAAGCTGAAAACCCAGAGTCAAATCTAGACCAGAAATGACTTCATTAGAAAACACTTTACATCTAATCTTTTCTAATAGTTTTCTCAGTAAACAGATGGTATTTTCAAATGGAACAGTGTTCTAAACACAAATAAAAGAAAAATACATAAATCTAAGTATGTAAAACATTCTTCCTTCAATCGACTACTTACCCTAATATTCCAAAAGCGGTGAATTTTAACATAGTGATATGATGAATTTTGAAGCGGGTGGTCAAAATAACAAATAGTCGAATTTAGTTGTTGATGTTTAAAACGAAACTGTTGATAGCAGCTCTATGACGTGTGTAAAAACATTGATTAGGAAACTAATTGACAAATGAATACATATTTCTAAAAGCCATTTTGAGTGAACAAAGGTTATTCTTTCCGATAACTTCTTCTTCAGGTTCTACAGTTTACGTGCATACTGAGGAATTATGCGTCACCAATATTAAAATTTCCCTTACCAGTTTGTTCATAATATCATGCAACTGATGAAATCAATCCAGAAAAAAAATTGTGTAGACATTAATGATAGAATCAATTGTTAATGAAATTCCCTTCAAAATAACTAGTTATCTTGAAAGGAGGGAGAGTATTTGTAGCTCAAGCGAATGATTTCGGTTGTAGTCACTTCAGTATGAAGTTACTGGTGACACTGCTTTCACGATGAAACTGTCCAGCTCAAAGAACACAACGCAACCAAAACTGATTGTTTAAACGATTATTTGGCTTGTGTAAGGTGTTTATAAGAGCTAGATGAAATAAATAAACTAAGAAGGGTAGTTCGAAAAATAATAGCCTGATAAAATGTTACTGTTGTTGGGGAACAAACCACGCTAAGACATTGTATTAAAACCATTCTAGATTATAGGGTTAAAAGGGTATCTACATTATGGAAGTGGAAAATTAGATTACCTTGGGTAAGATGCTGAGGAATTTATGCGCCTAGAATTGGGTCAAAGTTGTTGTTGTGGCAACACCTGGTTTTTTGAACACAATTCAGGTTGTTTTATCTTAATTGCTACTGCTTCTGCAGTCTGAAGGGTTGGGAGTTGGGTACCTTTAGGCAACCTGATAGAAACCCGTACAGGATGAAAAACGACTTATTCATATCTACCTTATGACTCGTCTCAACCAAGTGAGCTAATATGGAGCTCGTAATAGTCTTTATCACACCAGTACTTAACCACACTGAGAGGTGTTCAAAAGCACAAAAAAACAAATTCCTAGAACAGGAACTGACGTGTCTACTTCACAGAAGCAGTCTAACCGATTAATACCACAGGAAGTTGTCGGTCTAGGTAATTTACCTTTCAGTCTTAGTGTCACCATTGGGCGTGTGGAGAAAGTAATTTGCAACTTACCAGCATTAAAATTTGATCTGCGTAGTTTATGAATTAATATCTCACTAAGGGCATCACCTCTGAATTATACCCGAATGTATATTGGTTTCGTGCTAGCCATTGCAAAATCCTCTCTTGTCATTTTTGTATTCCTATGTTTCTTTATGAATTTATCAGAATAGCCATTTTCGACTAGTGTGTTGCTCAAAGTCGTCAGTTCCTCCTCAATTGTATCTATTCTGTAACTCAGAGTTTTTATTAAATTTTTTTTGTGCTGAAAGAAGATGAAGCTGAGAAAATGTGTATATTTTTTCCTAAACAAATTCCTCTTTATCGACCCATCTGTTAGTCTTGACAGAAAAACATCAAGAAAAGCTATTTCGCCATCTGATTCCTCCTCACACGTAAAATTCATCGCTGGGTGTGTTGAATCTGTTGAGTATATTCTATCTGTTCATGTTGTTTTCGCACAGGATGAAGATATAATCCAAATATTGACAGTAAAATGAAAATTCGGCAATGGATCCCTCAAGCAAACCACTTCCTAGTTTCGACAGAAAAAGGTGCAGTAATATAGAACTCAGTGACGAGTACATTGTGACTACATCTAATGGGACTCCAAAATTGATAGACTTTTTTTTCAACTGTTCACGCATAAGGTTTACCGTCTCAACAAGAGGCACGTGGATGAATGGAGATTTTACATCGAGTGATATCATAGTTTCATTCATGATGTTAACATCCCTGATTTTTTCTATAAATTGAAATACATCTTTTACGCTATATTTTACTGGCTGTTTGTATAAAGGTTGGAGAATAGTAACCAGATATTTCGTTAGAGCATTGGGTTCACGATTTAAGTAGGCTGGACACCAACACTTACATCGGTCACCCTCACCGAGGCAACTTTTAGAACGTTGAAAGTAGAAAAGTATAACAAATTCAATCAGTATCAACCAGAGCCTTGACAACCAATTTTATCAAGGGAGTAAATGGTGAACAATGAGTTTATCACTTGACTCCAGACAGTAATTTGTCAATTATGTCAAAAATTTTTCAAACTTGGTCATCGAACGGTTATCAGTATCACGATATAGTTAACAATTTCAGTACCCCAACTTTATCCACGTGACTACAGCGTCAAGTGATATTATGCATTTAAACGTTATGGTTGCTTACCATCAGTGGACTTTTCTAATGAAGGTAACAACTAGTTTCTGCTGTTTACCGCTTGTCTAAATTAGCAGAAGACATGAATTTACAGGTACTGATGACTTATTGGTGGGTTGAAAAGATGAAAATAATAGAAAAATAAAGAAAAACCATCCGTATCCCGAGATATTAGAGAATCATCTATGAGAGTATGAGATAATTGGGGAGAGTATTTTCAGAACCTAGGAGTTACATTTCTTATACTAAAAGACAACGCGGTTGCAGCGAAGAAAATTTTTTCTGTTCGACAAAGTCACTCACTAATTTGTACATTCGCCCACTGCAACATATATTCACGAATGTACAGCTTAATGAATGACTTCATCGAAAAGAAGATTTTTTCTTCGCTGCAACCGCGTTGTCTTTTCCTATGATCAACTGGATGTATTCCGCTGTTTAACGAGTAGTGAAACTTATACTACTTGAAAGTAGTTTGGTACTTTACACAAAATATTTCGGTCGTGTCATGTTTGTTTTGGAAAGGCTACTTGAGTAGATTTTTTCCCACATCTTATATTTATCTCCCAGATTATTAACTCTTAAATTCAGTTTCGTGTGAAAAAATACTAAAAATTCCTGCCATTTTTCAAAATTGAAACAGCAGGTTACTTATTCTTGCTAAAATATCCCTCTCACTAAACACACCCGGTATATCGTCATATGACTTTTATGGTAGTTGTCAGGACTCTATTGAGTGGGTCCATGGCCAATTGATTAGGTTCAAGTTACGTTTCATAATCAGTTGACAAGGTTCGGAAAGCAACTGGAAACAAGTGAGTAGCAGACGCTTATTTCGTTCCACCTCCAAATTTAACAGTGTGCATGCAAAACCTTATACGATATTCAGTACACAAAATATTTTACAACCTCTACTTTTTACCGCTACTTGCAGAATAGTTCCGTTTAACAAAGGGGGCATTGGGTGAAAAGACTCCTTAGGGTGGTGATGGAACGTCCATGATCAAATAAGAAACTCCAGAGAACACTAAACAATTAAATCGCTATTCCATAACATAGGCTATTCATACTTTTGTAAGATGTCACTGAAGAAGAAGACAGTGAAGTATTTTCATACTTTACCCACTTTTATGTATCTTTCTGTGATTTTAGGAAATATCAGTCAGCATACTACAAGTATAGAGGACCTAAAACCAACCTCAGGACAAATGAACCAAAACACATTACTGAACAATCTCACATTATGGAGTATGTTTTTTGACGGCTACTCAGCTAATTCACGTAAACAAAAGGACATTCATCAGGAGCATCAAAGCAGTGATAAGCAACTCTTCGACTACAATAATCTAGGATACGGACATGAAGCAACAACATTTAGTGCAGCAACAAAGCCAATCGATTTGTCGACAGCTGTAAACTCAGCAAATAATATCCCACAATGTGAAACTATGAATAACTTTTCTGCAGATCAGCAATTAATTAAACTAGATGAATCACAAATTGACAGTCCTTATATTAATCATCACTGTCATCCGAAGAACTTTCATCCATATTGAATACATTGAATAACTTGTTAAGTATGACCAACCCTTACCTGAAACCAGTACAGCAATCATCAACAATAAATAACGTAAACTCAGAACAATACAAATTTATGACAGATCCTAACTTGTGGCAAAATAGAAATATGGATAATAATGCTAACAAAAATTCACCACTAAACGCTTCACAGACTAAAACGCTGAACACGTCATCTTCGTGGAGTAAAAAGACAAAATTTTCAGTTTCAGAACTAATTAATACTTCAAAAGATGTAGATAGAAATTTCAAATCGGATCATAACACCAAAGTTTGTGGTCCCACGAAGATAGTATATAATACAAGAAATAAACGTTTTAGGTGTTCAATATGTAATCACACATTTTCTACACAAAGTAATTTATCGAAACACACAAACTGTATACACATGACACAAAGTTTAAAAGAATCAAATACACTGCGAGTTCCAATCACCACCTCACCACCGCTTACAGTAATAGAAAGTAATAAACTGGCAGCTCAAGATAAGGAAAGTCGGAGAGAATATGAAAGTGTTTACGGGAATATGAACAAAACACAATCCTCCTTCTTGTTGAATAATCAAGGTGACTTTTCGATGGATTTGATGTCGCTTCTTCGTCTTCTTTCCAAAGGAGTAACAAAAACAGCAGTAACAGTGATGATAGTCACAGTAGTCATTCTGATCACATAAATCTCTCAATGGCTGCCACATTAACATCAACATCTCTACCAAATCATCATTATGGTCATCCATACTTTTGTCATTTATGCAGCAAAGTTTATTATTCCATGTCTGCATTAAAAATGCATGTGCGTACGCATACATTACCATGTAAATGTAATTTATGTGGTAAAGCATTTTCACGTATGTGGTTGTTGAATGGACATTTACGAACGCATACAGGTGAAAAACCATTCGCCTGTTTGATATGCACACGAGCATTTGCAGACAGATCAAATTTAAGAGCTCATATGCAAACACATTCTGAAGTGAAGCGTTATCAATGTACACACTGTGATAGAACATTTTCACGTATGGGTCTACTAACTAAGCATCAAACAACCTCATGTTTACAGCAAATGAAGAAATCAACGAAATCCCAAAGTATAAACAGTAAGACAAGTGAATATATATTTGACAATAAAATCATATCCGAATCGAAAAAGTTAGGAAGTGTTCATTGAAGTAAGAAAAAAATGTATAAAAACCGCCATTAATATGATAATAATAATATTTATTACTTCTTCGGTCTTTCTCTACTGAAGGATACAAAGGCAATTGCTATTATTTAGTGGTACTATTAATTCATCTTAGCAACCTTCTAATTGGAGGGGGAGGGGGGGACATCCATTTCATCGGTTATCTTAGAGCGATAATAGCTTTATTCAGTGAGAAGGAAATCCAAGTATATCTCACAGTGTAATGTGGTTCGTCGACTTTAGCACTCAAATCTAGTCCCAGTTTAAAGTCCCCTTTCGTCTACTTCAGCCTGGTTAGTATCATAAGTCCTCACCTAACCAGTGAGGCTCATATATGTATGACGCATTTCCAAATGAAAACAATTCGTCAAATAGACAGTCCATAAACGAGTCACATAAAAAGTTATTAAAAGACAAAAGAGAAGATGAAGCGAACACTTACTGCAATTAACCTACGAACTGTTCTCATCTGAGCCCTTTCTACTCGATATAAATTGTGATCTAAGTAGGGCCATACATCAGTTTTTAAGCTAACCAGGTAGATTCTAACAAACTCTGTTCCTCTCTGATAATATAAAGAGAAGAAGCTTAGAGTAAAGCTGGTGTCTAGTCCTTAGGAAACAACAGCAGTAGTCAGTTTTTTGCAAGTATTAAGATGCCTTTCCACGATGGTTTGCCTTAATAGGCCAGAAGTATTCTTTTAACCCTTCAAAATCCTGTACAATACAGTATGATCTTTAATATAGGAGTCAAACTTGGGCACTATGGTCGATTGTAATTCCATTTTAGTCTGTTTATTAGAAATATCACACAGTGAAACACCGATTAGACGACATACACTTAGATGACAATGAAAAAATGGTTAGTTTTGACTTAACTAGCCTTTAGACAAATATACCGATCGATGTGACTCTAGAGGCAGTTAGAAATGGGCTTAAGGATGACAAAGAGCTTACATATCGAACTAAGGTGCCGATCGAGGAAATCATACTGGGAGTACGATTGTGCCTAACGTCTACAGTTTGTTTCAAAATAAAATATATAAACAAACTGAAAGTGTTGCCATGGGACCACCAATATCCCCTATCGTGGCAGACATATTTATGGTTAGTTGGGAACAGATGACTCTTCAAACATTTAGTCCTACTCCAAAGATATGGCTCCGATATGTAGATGATACGGTTACAGTACGGAAATCGGAACACATTAATAGGTTCTTGGCACATATAAATTTAGTAGTGAATGCAATCCAATTTACCTGTGACTTAGAAAGTGATGAAGGTAACCTAGCAATGTTGGACTGCAAGATTAAACGAACACAAGATGGGAGTCTAGAGACTAGTGTCTATTGGAAACCTTCCCTTTCGAATCGCTACTTAGACTTCAAATCCTCCCACCCATTTCAGTTAAAGGAGGCTTAGTTAAGTCCCTAAGGAATAGGGGGGAAAAGCTTACTAGTAGACCACAAAATCTACGACAAGAAATTAGACACATCAAGAATACCCTGCATCTCAAAATTACCCACCAAAATCTATAAATAAATTCATAAGAAATCGAAAGAAAAATATTAGTAGTGGTAGTAGTAGTAGTAGTAATACATGTGTTATTAATAATAATTCTACTACTAATGGTGACAGGGTTGGGAGAGAATTCAAAGCCTCTTCTGTGTCACCATACAAGGAAGACACCTTGGTAGCATTACTAAGAGTTCTCAATAAGGCTGGGATTTAAGTGACATTTAGACCAACAAACTCGCTTAGAAACAAGGTTTATAAGTTAAAAGATCCTGTCGATGCAATTAAGCGAATTAATCTGGTTTGCCAAATCCCTAGCAATGATTGCTAGGTCAAATACATAGGTCAAAGTAGTCAACCAGGATCGATTAGAATAACAGAGCACAAACACTTAGCTCAGATAAGTAGATCCTAATAAAATAAGGAATTTAGAGAAAAGCTCGGCTATAGCTGTGCACGCAATTACACACAATCACATAGTAGGGTGGGATAGTGCGACAGCGTTAAAAACTTAGTTGGGTGGAGGAGAGATTGATAACCGAATCTTTGTTTATCAAACCAACACCAAATACATGCAATGGAAATGATTCTGCGCCTGTCCCAGATATATGGGAAATTCTACTACCCTTATCATCACAAAGAGGAACAGAAAATTCGGAATATATAAACTCTGTTTCACAGTTGTAGCGTTACCTGCTATGAATATGGACAATAAATCATGTTCAAAACCTTATCCAGTAAAGGATACTGTTTCACTGTGTGACATTTCTAGCAAACAGACTAAAATGGAATTACAGTTTAGGAAAAACAAAAGAGGACTCTAAAGAAGAATTCGTAAAATATAGAGCTATTTAGTCACAGAGTCGAGATTGTTTTTTTCCGAATATTGAGAGGAGAGTAGTGCAAAATACTATCAAAAATATACACTGGATTCTTTCAGTGCAGGGTCAAGCACAGATATTATTCAGTTTGAAGGTTTTGGGGGATTTATTCATTGATTTCGCATTGGTATTCAACAAGGAGCAATATCAATTCACAATCTGGGGGCACTGAACAGTTGTTTCATTCTAGTCTGAAACTTCTCGGCATTGCGCATCAGGGAACCCACCAAGGGTCGAACGTATGACTTTCAGGTTAAGCGGGTGGCATGTTACAATCAAGCCTCAAGTCATAAAATCTAAGATGAAATCAGTGAACCCGAGTAAACAAACTTCTGTTGGACTAGAAGAAATCAATGAAATAACATTGAAAGGCTTATGTATGAATAACTAGTTTTGAGCACATACTTCACACCAGGCCTCACTATTTGATTGTTTCATATCAGTAAACTTTTTAAATCGCCCCCATATGTTAGGAGACATTTAACAGAACAAAAGATTAGGCGAGTCTTTTGAAATTTATGTTTTATTGTTTAACCTGTCAGATATTTGAGTCCCATCAATCTGGTTTATAATTGATAGAACCAGTGCTCCCAGGTTTCCTTTGTTCCTCCAACTGATGTCAGTCTACGATGAATAACAACTTGAAATATTTCCAAATCTCCACAACTCCCTCAAAATTTAATTTTATTTATGTCTAAATCTTAGTAACGTATGTAATAAAGTATGCAAATTCGTTCAACAGGTCCAACGACTAAATTTCCTTTCATATAATTATCAGACACTTTGACATGTCAGTAATGAGTTGTATGTATCAGGTCAGGTTTAAATAACCTAGATCAGTAAAAATGATCCCCGAGAATAATCTGTTAATCAGTTCAGCACTACTAGTTTCAAAATAAAATCACATAATAACCAAAGGAATATGTTCTCACTGGTTTCGTTCGTGAGTAAGCAAGAGTGTAGGAAGTACCCAGGTGGTTGCCTCAGTAGTGCATGCATTTCACAGATGAGTAGGAATTATGTACTTGAGACTAAATCGACTATGGCGTCATTTGTGTTACTAGTTTTACATGCACAAGCCTCTCTTTTCTAACTCCAAGGTTAATCTAACAGAACTGAGTTAATGAAGGGAAATAAAAGAAATCTCAGTAGTATACTGTATCACCCATAATCTTAAACACAAAGAATCCCAGTCGGACCTTACGATATTAATGCATACGAAACTTCGTGAAAGGCACCACACTAGATGTTTATGCCTTGGAAACGAAAACAAAGTTTTTTATTTCACATATAATTGATATTTCTCAGCTAACTGAGTTGCTAACAATGAGAATCAGTCAATATTGTAGATTTTTTGTCATAAGATGTTATCAAATCAAGAACAAATTGAAAACAGAGAGCATTTGATACCAGCTTCATTTTCTGAGGTTTTTTGGTGATAGTCATCTTCAACTCTTAAAAAGTATGAGGCCCAAAACCTGTCAGGGATCATGGTTAGTTCCCTAAAGTTGAATCAGTTGTTTGAAATCGGATTCAAAAGTTTGATCAGATTGTCATTTCGAAACATAGCGGGAAAGAAAATGGTTTGAAAATAATCTACTTTCTATTTGTGACTTGGATAGGGGTGGAGTTGACTACGTTTTGAGAATTATTAGTGGATCGCAGTATCAACCATTTGTGAAGTCGGGTAAAATACCCACGAATGATGGTTGTTCTGTACCATGAAGAGACTAACTCTGGGATTGTCACCTGTTAAGTTGAAACCACTGACTGAATGGTTACTTACATGTCGATCGTCTAACTTCAGAGTCCTTTGTCAAGCCTCAAGTATGGATCAGTGTGCAAAGTGTTGATAAGTTCTTATCTAGGGAGTGAAAAGCCATCAGGTGAGTCATAATTTTAAAACAGACCTTTAGTAGACACATCAGACAGGAAAAATTAACGAAGAACCTCACACGAACATGTAAAGAAAAAAGTGGGTGCAGAGTGGTACCAAAATAGAAGGTGCATTGGAGGGAAGGGAACTGGAAAGTTAAGTTTAGTGAGTATGTCAAAGCTTTAGAAGTCGTTAAACAGTGAATACATTAGTAAAATTGCCACTGATTTCTAGTTATTTCATCAAGAGTTCCCAACCTTAAATTCACATCTTTCCAAGGACTGCTATCAGCCAATTTACACTTCTGTACAGGAATCAGCTCACTGGTCAAAGACTATCTACTGACCCCATGTCTTGGCCCGGCCAGGATGGTTCTACATGCGTAACACATGTCCAAGCCACTACCATCGCTCAGGGTTCACAACCTCATCCGTTAACTTTCCCGGCATCCTATCCTTATCATCTATATTGTTCGCACGGTGATTCCACCAAACGCGAGTCACATTGCAGAGACAGCTGTGTTCAGAAACGTATAACCTCTTCAACTTTTAACGATCATTTCTTATAGCCGTATAGTAGGACACGGAGCAGTATTCTAGTCCCTTAAAACGTAGTTAGATATCTCTCGATGTCAGAGATGATGTAAGTTGGTAAATGCCGAAAGCACGTTGAGTATCCCAACTAAAACTTAGTCAGCAACCAACACATTCGGGT